ATATCGTTCTATGGGGATGTTGGCAGCAGATAACAAAGGTGGAAGACCGCGTTCCACCACTTCTAGAGAGGATTCTATGATCGCCAGATCCGTCAAGAAGGATCCCTGGGTATCATTAGTCAAGATACAAAAGCAATTAGAGCTGCCTGTATTGGACCGAACAATCAGACAAGCGATGGCATTTGCTGTGTACGTCGACGGGCCGGAAAACGCCTCAATTTACGTTACTGCCATAACACCGTGAAGCATGGTGGAGGCAATGTAATGGTCTGGGGTGTTTTTCTGCTAACGGTCTAGGTCCAATACATCTAAACAATGGAATAATGTTCCATGTATAAAAATATCCTGAAAGATGTTATGTAACCTCATGCTGAATGGAATATGCCAATAAAATGGGTTTTTCAGCAAGACAACGATTCGAAACACACTGCAAAAGTAGTCAAGCAGTGGCTTCAAGACAACCACCTATCGGTGATGGATTGGCCACCTCAATCTCCAGATCTCAACCCTATCGAGAACCTGTGGGAGATTGTCAACCGCAGAATTAATTGTGAAGATGTTCGTAATAAGGATCAACTGTTTGAACAAATCCAAAAGGCCTGGGCAGTGATTCCACAAAGTTTCATTGATCACCTGATCAAATCTATGCCTTGAAGATGCAAGACTGTGATCGACAACAAAGGATTTGCCACAAAATATTGATAGTGAAATACAGCTTGGTCAAATTTAGTGGAGTTGCACTTGTTTTGTCCAGAAGGAAATCAACTTTTTTTAATACTTTTGATTAATTTATTAATTTTCGTGTACAAATAATGAACTTTGTGATGAATAAAACTTGAAGTACATTGTCTCTAAACAGTTACATAGTTATTTCTCTAAATTGAAAAAATGCAGCACTTTTATATAACTAAACTAAACTAGCATTATTTGGTTGCACTTGTTTTGTCTGATACTGTATATAAGGTTCACAACTAGAACAAGTAAGTATAGTCACTATAATTCTAGTTAGGCATTTTACAGCTAAATATGTTCCACATATTTAGCTGTAAATGCCTGAGAGAAAAGAAGTGATTGATTATATTAGAAATTGTTTTTGTTTCTACTTAATTACAGTTTTGTTTAACTTACAGGTTCATTATAATTCATACAATTTAGTGGAGTTGATCGCTTTAAAGAATTTGTTTTAAAAAAACACGCACCCTTATAGTGGAAATATTCTTTTTTTATTTAGTTTATATTGTCAAAGAGCGACAAACACAATAAGTCTGTTTATTTTCATGCAACCCGGACCTCTTCAGCTTTAGATAAAAAATGGGAAATGTCTAATTCAACCTATAAGAATTTATAAGATATACAAAAACATATTGCAAAAATCAAAACAACTATTAACAATTGCCATCATTGTGGTAAGCATAATGAGATAAACCAATTGACATAATATAACTAAATTACTCAATTCATTAGTCATAAAGAACAACTATAAAGCAGAGGTATTACAAACATATATTATAAAAGGAAAGCGCGCAAAAAATTACTTAAAGAAAGAGAATAAAAATATATCAGGGTTAAAATAAAATTGAAAATTATTAGTATAATACCAGATTCTCGTCAGGAAATGTATTGTATTGACCCTTATAGCAGGCTTGGACATGAATTATATTATTGACCCTTATAGCAGGCTTGGACAGGAATGGCGTGCGATCGCACTCTGTAACACGCTAATATTTTTATTTCTTTACAACTTGACCACAATTATTTTGATGTTTTAACAATTTGAATGCAATAAAAAAAGTGTTACGTTATAAATATCTTTTAATCGTTGATCTTTTCTAAAGTTTTTTATTTTACGTAAAAGCTTTAAATAAAACCATAAAATTAATTATAGTTATTGCTTACATAAACGGTTGTGTAAATTAATAAAAAACTTTATAAGTTTATTTTATGTAGGCATTTATTTTTTATGATAAATTTAAACATTTGAAACTATTTTCTTATGTCTCCTTAAAACATTTATAAACCATTATTTTTAAAAAGAATTTGTTTAAGTTACTTTAATTTGTGAATAAGTTCAAAAGCTTTTGTGACTACTAACTTTTACACATTTTATTACACAAGAATATAAAATAATTACACAAAAATATAAAATAACTTTATTTACTTATATAAGCATGTATTTTGTTGATTTAATGAAAAAGTCTTAAAGCATTCTGTAATGTTCATACGATTAATTTTTTAATGTTCATATGATTGATTTTGTAATGTTCATATGATTGATTTTGTAATGTTCATATGATTAAACTTACGATTTAAATAATAAAATGTTTTAAATAAACATTTTATTTTTTGTAAACAAGTTTTTTTTTTTTTTTTTTTTTTAATTTCGTTAGAAATGAATAAGATAATATATAATAATAATCTTTTATTACATAATAAGAATAATAATAATCTTTTATTACAACTTCTAAATTCGTTACGCGAAGTGCTTATTAATAAAGTTGTAATGCTCAAATTAAAATTAAATTAAAAAGCTTGTTAGCAGTTTATTTTATTTAAATCGCAAGCGCATTTTATTTTATTTTATTTTTTCTATTTTTACGAATAAATAATATTTTAGTGCTTATATAATTTCTTTTTCGTTTCTTTTTTCGTTAGGAGTTTTTTTTTTAATTTTTTTCCTAGTGTAAGTTTAGCTTAGCGTTTCTACATTCAGAACATTTCTGAAATTTTTAACTTATCAAAATATATAAACATTGTTTATTAAACAATCGTGGTCAAGTTGTCAAAAAATAAAATCATTTTCGTGGTCAGCAATAGCACTCAATCGCACCCCATTCCTGTTCAAGCCTGTTAAAGCGATTTAATACTCTGGTATACAACATTTCGAATGTTTTAATGCTCATTCCTAGAAACCCCTGTCGGGGTATCATCCTCAAAACAAGCAAGTAAGCCCACACCCACTTATTTTACGGCTAACTTGCTAACTGCTGTGACTGAAAGATTTAATCTTGCATTAGATGGAGGCAAAGAGTGTAGGGCTATTGTTCTTGACATTAAGGCTTTCGACAAAGTTTAGCATGTTGGTCTTCTCCATAAGCTTGTTTTATATGGTGTATCTGAGAAAGTTTTTGAGATTATCAAATCATTTCTTTCTAACTGCTTTATCTTAGTCATCCTTGAAGGCCAACACTCTTCTTTATTTCCAGTAACTTCTGGGGTACCTCAAGGTTCTATCCTTGGTCCTATTTTGTTTCTTATCTACATTAATGATCTTTCCAACAACCTTACATCTAAAGTAGTTCTTTTTGCTGATAACTCAACTTTATACTCCTGTCTTGACATAAAGTTTTCTCTTTTTGATTGCTTAGATCAGGCAGCCAATCTTAAATCTGATCTCACTTCTGTAAAAGTATGGGGCTTACAATGGCTTGTAAATTTCAACTCCAACAAAACTCAGCTATTTAATACAAACAACTATCGCAGTACTGTCGACATTCCTATATCAATGAATGGCAATCCTGACTGAGTCTTCTTCTTTACGTCTTTTTGGATTATCATTTACTACTGACCTTTTATGGAAACCATATATACAATTGATTGCTAAACTACCATTTGCTAAGGTTGCTTCTCTTTACAGTTCTCCCCATTTTCTCTTTCCTGATTCCATTCTTTACCTTTACAAATCTCTTATTCGTCCCTATATGGAATATTGCTGTCATATTTAGGCTGGTTCTTCTAATGATGCTCTTTCTCTTTTAGACAAGGTCCAAAATCATTTATTAAAGTCTCATATATGTCCCTGCATGCTCAAAAAACTTTTATTTGTCTATTTTTTTTCCTCAAACTTTAACGCTTTGGAACTCTCCGCCATCTTCATGCTTTCCTGACTCATACAAACTTCAACTTTCTAAATCTTTTGTCATCCGTTTTCTTGCTCTATAACTCTATTCTTTATTTCTAGTAACTCCCAACTTAATAGTGGTTGCTTGCAGTTTTGTTGGGAGTCAATCAGAATTAAAAAAAAGAAAAGAATGGAATAGAAATTTAGTATTAACTCTATTTTTACTAACAAAAAATTATCAGCTGATTATAAATCTTTATGTTAAATTAAATTTTATAATTAGTTGTTTTAATTTTATAATCATTATTATTATAAACATTATTATTATAGTTTCCTAAACAATAAGTTTCCATTTATATTTATATTATCTTCACTCATGCATTCCACAATTATTGACTGGAATTAAATATAAACCAAGTTAACTATCTGTCTTTTTTATGAGTTAAAAAAACAAGATTAAAAGATAAAGAAACACAAACTTGAATACCATTTCATAATATATTATAAATTTTTATGAGCCAACAATATAATTGGTTATCATAGTGAAATGTATACTACTCATGTTTTATTTTATTTTTTCTTTATCTTTTGTTTTTTATTTGTTTGTTTTTCTATTTTTTATTTTTTGTTTGTTTTAGATGTTTATTAATCTTTAAAGTAAAAGACTTTTACTTTTTGTCTTTACTAGTTTTTTTATATTCATAGTCGCACTCTTTTTTTATTTTAGACAAAAGTGAACCATCCAATAAAATATTGCTTTCTTTTACATAACCAATGTAATAATTATACTGAAAAATATATTATTATTGTGGTGATTTTTGTAAAGCAAAATCATAGTTAGTTTGTATGAAAGCATTTATGTATTTTTTTATTTGTGTTCATAACATCTTCAATCATTTTACTATTAATATTAATAGTATTATAATACTATAAAATGCATAATGATAGTTGAGGAACTTACAATCAACAATAAAATTTTCAAAATACTTGAACAATATTGAACATTCTCTTATGTATGAAATAAAAAATTGATCATAAAAAATATTCTGTGGTGTCCAACATTGAATTTTAATATAATAAGCAAGTACCAATTTTTACAAATCAGTGATAAAAAAAAAACAAAGATAAAGTTTCAACAAGAAACAAAGCAATGTTATCTTACCAGAAACAACCATTGCCTCATTAGGTCCACAAGTTTCAAACCCCATCTTAAAATATATTTAATAAAAACTTAAAATCAAAAATTCTAATCAACACCAAGATATTCAATGTAAATATGGGATAAATCTATCCTGTGTAAACCCGTCTGAAACTACGAGGCGCGGCCTGATGATTCAGATAACTAAAATGTTAATCTCCCGGTATAGAATGAGGTTATTACTCCCGCGTTTTTTTTTTACTCACTAGTAAATTTTTACTCCAATTATGAGATTTCTACTCCCATAAAATATTTGCGACGTTGTTGTATTTTGAAATTTTTTTATCATTTGAACGATTGTTGTTTTTTAGCAATAAAGAAGCGATTCCATTTAATATGAACATTATTTAAAAATATTGTAGTGTTTGACAATTTTACAATTGACAAAATGCTTTTTTTTTAATTTTTATTTTTTGTATTTCATTACAATATTTATTCAAATATATACAAGAAATAAAATTACAGATAGAAATTTTGTTAAAAAGAGTAAAACTTAAACAATATTTAATAAACAAAACAAAGAACGCGGACACTCGAAGAAGACTATTAGATCTTGTCACCAAGAACCGCTAAAATTAAACGTGATAAATTAATGATTGTTAATAACTTTCAATTAAATAAAGTAGATTACAAATGATGTTATAATTGATATCATTTTAAAACAAGTTCTTTAAGTTTTCTTTTTATGAAATGCAGATTAACATTATCTTTAAAATAAACATTATCATTAAAACAGTCTTATACGACAAATTTCTTTCTGCTTATTTTTTTTTATTTATATATTTGCCGTACATATAACATTTACAAGTTTCGTAAATTAAAAGTAATATTTACAAGTCTCGTGAGTCAAAATATATAGTGTAATTTATAATTAAATAGTACAGGCCGGACTTCAAGAAGATCGTAATGATCTTATCACGAAGCCCTTACAATGTGTTTGATATATTATTATGATTATGTTAAATATAATTATATATTAAGTACAACTATGTTTATATATTCTTTAAATTTAGCTCATAATAAAAAATAAACTCAAAATAAGCTCAGTATAAAATATTAGACATAACTAGCAGCATAATAACTAAACTTGATAAGAAAAAATCAAGTGTTTTTTTTTGTGTGTAATAAACAATTTTTGATATATTGTTTGAGAAAGGTAAGAGTCATTTAGATAATACACATAAATGAGTCAGTTCACTTTGTAGTTGATATATATGTATTTTAATTTATAGTCTTAGAAGAATTCTGAGTATCTGTTTAGATTAAGTATCAGATTTTTTAACTTTTTTTTCAAGAAATTTTGATTGCCAATTTTATCTAGATTGCAAATTGATTTATTTTTAGTTACTAGTTTGTTGTATAAATAAGGACCCCGATATGAAATTGAGAACTGAGAAAGTTTTGTTTTTTTAAAAGGTGTAATAAAGTTTCCTTTTTCTCTTGTGTTATATTTATTAACGTTATTTATAAAAAAGTTATTTAAAAAATGGTTTGGTCCTTGACCTAATTTAAATTTTAGCATAAACAATATATTTTGGTAAATATTAATTTGATAAATATTAAGCACATTCATTTCTTTAAATAAGGGTTCAGTGTGTGTAAATTTGTCTTTATGGTAGATTAGTCTAACAGCATGTTTCTGACGTCGATATAAAGTTTTCAATTTGGTTATATGCGTACTCGCCCAAGCTATATTCGCATATATGAGGTAGCTATGTATAAAAGAGAAATATATAAGTTTTAAATTACTTTGCGACAACATAGGTTTTGCTTTATAAAGTAGACCTATGTTTTTTGATATTTTAGTGTTTAAAGCATTTATGTGATTTTTCCAAGATAAATTTTCATCAATTATAACTCCTAAAAATTTAGTTTCGTGAGTTCTCTCAATTACTATATTTTCTATTTTTAGAGAGGGTAGAATATTTGGTAGTGTGTTTCTTTGTTGGTTTGAGTGAAATAAAGTGTATTTTGTTTTTTCTATGTTTAGCGATAACTTATTTGTTTTAAACCATATATTTAATTTTTGGAGTTCTATGTTTACATTATCATACAGATCCTTGATGTTTGTCGAAGAGTAAAATAAATTTGTATCGTCTGCAAACATTATAAATTCAAGTTTGCTAGAAACTTTTGGAAGGTCGTTTATATAGATTAGGAACAAAAGAGGAGCAAGAATCGAACCTTGAGGAACACCACAAGTTAATTTTAATAATTTACTGTGGTAATTATTATCTGTAATAACACACTGTTGTCTGTTATACAGGTAACTTTTAAACCACTGCAGTGTATGGTTTTTTAATCCGTATTTTTCCAACTTTTTTAGTAGGATTTCATGATTTATTGTGTCGAATGCTTTTGACAAGTCTACAAAGACTCCTAATACGAACTTCTTTTCATAGATTGATTCACTAACTCTATTGACGAGGTCTACGATAGCATGCTCTGTCGAGTGCTGAGTTTGATAACCATATTAGTTTTCATTCAGGATTTTGTTTGTGGTTAGGTATTTATATAAACGATTGTATATTATTCGTTAGAGCAGTTTTGAAAATACGGGAAGGATTGATATTGGTCTGTGATTATTTAAGAAAGATGTATCTCCGGATTTATAGATACGAATAATTTTAGCTATTTTTAAATAGTCGGGTACAATTCCTGTAATTATTGAAGAGTTAAATATTTGAAAAATGGTTTTGCTTATTTCTGGGAAGACATTCAAAATTATATTGGCTGGGATATTGTCGATACCTGGACCTTTGTTAATTTTTAATGTTTTAATTGCTGTTTCAAGTTCTTTGTATTCTAGTTCTTTAAAAACTAGGGAGCAACGAGAGTCCTCGATGTAATTCTCAAATGAATTGTTTGTAGGTTGAATTTTAGAGGCGAGTTTGGAACCTATACTTGCAAAGTATTTGTTAAATTTTTCAGAGATAATTTTTGTATTATTAAACTCTTTTTCACTTATGAGAACTTTTGGAGGTAGTTGGTTCGAGTTTTTTTTATCTTTACCAATTATTTCTTTTATAATATCCCAGATTTTTTTATTATCTCCTTTAAATTTTTGTATTTGCTTTGAAAAATATAGTTTTTTGGATTTTAATTTTATTTTTTCAAATAGATTTTTATATTGTTTATACTTAGACAAATTAAAATGGTTTCTATTTTTTAGATATTTTATGTAGAGTTTTTGTTTTTGTTTTGACGATTATCTTATTCCTTGGGTAATTAGGATTCCTTGGATAATTCCTTATAATTACTACTGATTTTATTGAAACTGATATTGGTCAAATTGGCTAAAACCCCCAACAAATATATATGGTTAAGAATAATAATAGTCAAAATTCTTAATTTTAATTTACTTCTTCATTTTTGGACTAAACTGTAGCATGATTCGTACTAAAAACCATAATTTTAGTAGAATTTTAAGTTAACTAAACTGGTTCAATGCTTTGGTATTTTGTGGTAATGTTGTTTGGACTTTTCTTTGTGCTTTTGGTTTTACAGTAGTTTTCGGTAACAGACTTTATAGAGAGTTTTCAGTAATTGGTTGGGTTTTCTGATTCCCGTAAATATTACGTATACTTCTCCTAATTTATACAGTGTCCAAATGGCTCAACCATTTTTACAAATCGTAAGTAGATAACTAATATGATTCAAAAATTAGTTGTCAGATAACTTATAATTAGTAGGTTGCATTCAACCACCTATATTTCAAAGTTAGATAAATAGTTATATGTTTCGTGGTTCAAATTCAAATTATTAGAAAACAAAATGACGCTTTAACCTAACTTTTGGTTTGAAATTGTGTAAAACTTTTATTTTTATTAAAAGCAAATAGTGGAAAATAGTACAAAAAAATCTACCCAGCAAGCAAACGACGTCGTATCAACGTCTAAGAAAGGTTGGAATTTATAACATCGAAACTTTCAACGTCGTTTCCACGTTGATTTACCATTAATAAAGAAACGTTGAACAATACGACGTCATTTCAACGTCTTAGAGCAACGTCTTAGAGCAACGTCGGAATTTTCCACGTTACTTCTCAATGCAACTAAGGCATGGTACACATTTTTCCGAACAAAAATATAAGTTTATTCAATTGCAATATATGTAAGTTTTTTATCAAAAAGTGTGACATATTTGGTATGTATGGAAAGATTATTTTAACCACTATTATAATTTGGTAAAAGTAATGCAACTATAACAAATCGTCAAACGTAGTTTTATTTAAAGAAGATGCAATTTTTAACATAAAGTACCTTGGGGCTTGGCTATAGATAAGTCTATGAATTTCATTTTTTCATAAAACCACGTATTGGTGTTTGTTTTCAATAAATGTAACTTGACATTTCTAATCAGACATTATTTGGGAAAATTATCCATGAAAAACCATTTTTTTAATGAAAATTTAAGTTATTGTTTTCAATACCACACCTAAATGAGTATGTTTAATAATAATGTCACATAACATTTAGATAAGCTATGGTAGTGTTAATTTTTCTACCAAAGTCGTTTTTGCATAAATAATCATAACTTTTAGCCCAATTTAAAAAACTGATTTCGGTATTTAGAATCATTTTTTAAAATACTCGGGACTTATTTGGCCATCTTGAAATAATAAATTATTCTATTTAGAATGCGTAAAAAATTAAAAAACAGAGGCGGTAAATTTTAATTAATAAATTACTTTCAATTCGAATTCTTTGTTTGCATTAATTAAATACCAATAAATATAAAGTTTTTCTGTTTGCTACTAACAACCAATCGGATTTTTTTTAAATTATCATTTTTTTTTTACGAGTTTGTTTGTTCTATGCCTTAGTTGCCTTGAGATGTAGAAAACGGTGTACAGTGGGCCAAGATCGACATAAAATAGACAAAAAGTCATAACTCCTTTATTTTTTAAGTTGTAAAATTGAAATTTTTATCAGTGACTCTAGTCAACATAAAGATCTTTTTGAATTTTTTTTTTTTTTTTTTTTTGCAGATGCAGGCACCCTAAACACTCTAATAGAAAAGGGTGTATAGGGCGTATGAGATTTTAGATATAACTTTTGGTTGTTTTTAGAAACAGTTTTTCCCAGATTCAAAGCATTAATTAATTAAAATATTTATGACGCGTTAGACCCCCTTTAATA